CAGGTTAAATTTGTCATCCGATTTGGATGATATTTGGCGCAGCTGATTTATTTGGCCGAAGGACAAACCCTATTGAAATTGGGAAAAATCGGTTCAGATTTAGATATAGCTCCTATACATATTTTCGTCCGATTTTAGGTATATAGTGAACCAAAGTCCATATATATCCTTCGATTTCCATGAAATTTTGCATAGCATTTTGAATTAAGCCTAGAACGATGTGTGTTAAAATTCGTGAAAATCGGTTCATATTTAGATATAGCTCCCATTTATATTTTCGTCCGATTTTAGGTAAATAGTACACCAAAATCCCTATATATCCTTCGACTTGCACGAAATTTGTCACAGCGTACTGAATTAAGTCTAGAGCGATGTGTGTTAAAATTCGTGAAAATCGGTTCATATTTAGATATAGCTCCCATTTATATTTTCGTCCGATTTTAGGTAAATAGTGCACCAAAATCCCTATATATCCTTCGACTTGCACGAAATACCCATCTGCACCTGTTACTTATCGAAGTAATCGTTTTAGACGCAATCACAATCAAGCGTAGATTTAATATCAATTTGTAATTCTGTTTGCAAAAACTCGAAATATTCGTCGGAGACTCCACACATTGTACGCTAGTACATCGCTAGTTCTCCTAGGATTTTTGGTATTGCAGATCTAGATTATACGATACCATATACTCTTTACCTCTAACCAATAATGTTTACACAACAATTTGCAGAATTTATTCCCTGGTGGAATTTTTGTGATATTGAAAAAGATGTGTTATATGGGAAATTACACCTGCAATGGGATACAGCCCTCTTCCAATTCTTTATGTTTAGAATAATCACGACAGCTAGTTGTCCATAAAAAAACAAAATTAATGGCTATATTAAATTTCAATTGACTTATTAAATTTCTTAAAAACCTTCAACATTGTCTCCCATAATGGGTAGTTGAAGGCTCTGCGCTCTAATTCAATTTCTATTTGTAATTTCGTATGTGGCTGTATGTTACTATGGCTTTGTGAAGTGTGTGTGTTTATTTGAGTTTGAAATCTGAGGTCTTGTGTTATTCTAACCCAATTTATGGTTTTATTTTTCGTTCACTTCTGCTAATAATCTGAACAAATATTAACATTATTTTGGATCGAATCCAAGAGACTTTACAGTGAATGAAATGTGTGAGAACGGTGGAGATGAGAATACAAAAAAAAAAAAACATATTAATTCTCTGTACGTGGGTTATCGTTTCGTTTATCCATAGTCATGCAATTTTGTGGTTAAGATAGGTCATGCGTGGTACGTGTATAGGTTTTATATGAAAGGGCCTTTATGAATTTATGAGAAGTTAGGAAAACATGAAAAACTTTTTATAAAACTAAAAAAATAAATTTATGTTATTCGGTTCATAGCTGCCAAATATAATTTCAAATTTCTTGTAATCGATATTGAAAATGGGATATATCGACTTACATTTAAGGCCCATAAACTAGTCCCCAATATTCTATATTTTGAAATGTTTATGAACATTTTTTACCTATTCTGCTGTAATTTGTTATTTTTATATCCTCCACCATAAGATGGATATTCTTGATCAGAATAAAGGTCGATGTATATTTACGCATGTCCGCCTGTCTGTCCGTCTGTTGAAATCACGATAAAGGCCGCAATATTTAGGATACAGCTCTGAAATTTGCATAGACATTGCTGCTACTCCTTCGAAATTTGGTATTACAAAATAGATATATCGTTGAGCTTTGGCGTAGCCCCCATATAACGATACCACTCCATATGCAGTATTTTGAAGATTTTGGATGCACTTTCCTACAGAATTTGCGGTAATTTGATATGTTGGGTTCTCATTGAGTAACACACATCCGTACCAAAAAATTATTTATATTGAGCCAATTATCAGGGTATCTACAAAATAGCATAGAGTACTGAATTAGGTCTAGAATGATGTGATGGTTTTAATAAATTGTGCACTAAAGATCCATTGGCCGATTGACACAACTTACTGAAATTAATATAAATTAATATATGGCAGGTTTGCTTGAAATCGGTTCAGATATAGATATAACTTAGCTTCCATATATAATTTCGACTTATTTATGTTAATTGCACAGCAAATAATCAATGGGTGTGTTTAGCTCAGAGGGGCTCCGCCGAAGGGAGTCAGTACGCCGAATGCTTGGAGCAGTGGACCGTAGGGTAGGGGTGTACGAATAGCCGTGTGCCGTGAAAGTAAAAGAATTAAGAGTAAAACACAATAGTTTTCTTAATATAGTAATTCAATGGTTTATTGATTGTTTGGTTGTTGGTAACGAAATTACCTTACTATGCACAACGATATGTGCTCGCAACGATATGCGTGGTTGTCTGTCCGAATGACAGGTAGATACTCCTTGATGCTTAAAGGAGGCGGCAAAGCAAGTGACAATTGATTATTCGTTAAAACGTCAAAAGCGCTAACTCAAGGTTGCAATAAACCGTAGCGCATACATTTTAACGAATAATAGAAGACCACATCAGGGGTCAATAAAAAGTATTATTTTTATACAAATCTAAATTAAACAGGGTGTCTGATTGAGATTAAATTTTAAACAGTACAGCGACGTCTTTTCGGATACATATGTAGAATATACCCAAAGTGGTGAAGGGTATCATATAGTCGGCCCAGTCCGACTTTGCTACTTTCCTTACTGGTTTTTTTTATTATGGCCGGTAGCCCTACTATTATATATTTTGAGAATGTTTTATTAATCTTTTTCGGTAGGTCCGAAATTAACGTAGTTTTTACTTTTTGGTATTATTAAAAATTATATAAGCTGGACATTAAAGGCGGGTTTGTTATATGGGGGATATGTTAAAAGATAGTCGTGGTTTGATTTCTTTATTCCCTAATGATCCGAAATGATCACTTATAGTCAATTCGGCAAAATATCCTAAAGGCTAGGTCCTTAAAAATTTTATCAAATTTTGCGGCATCTTTAAATAAGGTATACCTAAAAATATATCACAGTTACAGTTTTTCAATGGGAAAATATGTTTTCCTGTCCACACACACAAAAACCGACTACCTTATTTAGGATACGGAAAATAATTTGGGATCTTTATATTGGGCTATGTTAAGAAAATGGACCTAGGTAAATAGACATATGGAATATTCAATGTGATCTTCATATATAGGCACTATATCAGAAAAAGAATCTACATTGAGAGATTACAGTAAATAAATCATTGATCCACCTAGGCCTTGGAATGCAACATTACAGCTATTTTGTTTGACAATACGTTTTACACCAAAAATTCCTAGGAACACCAAACTATAAGTACTCCGGTTGAAAAATGCTTTAAAAACTATCAAAATACATAAATTGGTGGCTGGACGTATACTTTCCCCTACGGGTAAACATATTTTAAATCCCTTATATATATATATATATATATAACTCTTTAAGTGTGTTAATTTTTCAGTTGTCATTACATTAACCTGAACCAGTGAGCGGAGCAGTATAGTCGGACGGGGCCGACCATACGATACCCTACACAACTACCAAGGAACTCAAATTTTCTGCGGATGTTTATTCCGAGTCTGGGCAATATTTCAAGATATTTGCACCCTCTTGCCCGATTAGAGGTAAACAGCACCTCTTCCTCACACTGACATACTTTCCGAATATTACGAGTATTCAGTATAGCTATTGTACAGATTCCCTTCACCGTGGTTTGTGTTGTGATGTTCGGCTTTCATTTGTGGTCTATAGATCGGCTCGAAAATAACACAAAAAATTAAGTTTTCGGTCCAATTCATCCCAAAAGTAGTATCTGATCATCACCAAAAATTATAGGCGTTGTTCTTGACCATAACTGGAACCTCATAGAACATTTCAAATCGATCAGCGCTGTAGTTCCGCTCTCTAGAGTGATAATGGGTTACTAAATAATATACGACTACGGAGATACCTGTAAATATTTAGGTGTAACTCCAACATCCGAGCACATACAACAATATAACTGGTATTAATTTAAAGATCAACACCTCCTCTTGGATAAATATAAACTTGTCGGGTCTATGTTATTCAGGGGTAAATATATACGCTATAGAATACAAATTTTGTCATTTTTCACACAAAAGTCAGGGTCCATTTGACCCGCTAAATATTGACCGATCTTTATCAAAACAGGCATGCTTATTCTTTGGCCCGATCCCCTTCTCCATGCAAAATTTCATCATGTTTGGACCATAACTGCGGCCTCTGGAGAGACCAGAAAAACCGACAAAAATTTAGTATTTGGTCCATTTCATCCCCTAAATATTAACCGATCTTTTCCAAAAACAATAGGGGTCTTCATTGGCCAAAACCCATCCTACATGCAAAATTTCGTGAAGATTGGTCCATAACTGTGGCCTGTATCGTGTTTACAAATTATAATGGACAGACGGATGGACGGACGGACACACATGTCTAGATCGACTCAGCTAGTCGAGATATGAAGGTGGGTCTAGGACCAATATTTCGCGGCGTTACAAACTTTTGGGGCTGCACAAAGCTATAATACCCTGACAACATAGTTGTGTAGGGTATAAAAATATTTCAATAAGAAGGGAAGGCCCTTTTCAATTGGGCCTACATCTACAACAGAAATTCACACCTACAATAATTAATTAGCTTGTCAATGTTTGTGTGTTCGCCTATACCTATATATCGCACGACATGAAATGCGTGTGAAAGCGGCTATTCTTTTCTATTTATTCTTTTTGTACACTGTTCAAGTCATATCCAATTTGTCGGCTGTCACAAACATTCAATGTTAATAACTTAATCAGTTCGGTTGGGTCCAACACTCTTTGCATTAATTCATCCATTTTCGCTATTGTGTGGTGTGTGTGTGCGTGTTTGTGTGAAATACTCCGAATACTGCTAACAAATTCAAATAACCACAAATGCTGCCCATTCAAAGGCTCGTTCTTATTATTCTAATTTTGAGTGGTTGTCTTACAGCTGTGTTTGGTGGTTTCAATGTTGACCGTAATCTTACCGATTTTAGGCGTCATCGCGAGAAAAGAGGTTTGATATTTGAAAATGGAGGTGCCATTAAGGTAATTCTAAATCTGTAAATGGAATATTGCGAATTACATTTAGGTTAAGAGAAAATGTGAATATGGAAACGGTAGGCTAGGAACGAGCAGGACACCATGTCGGAAGTTAGATGACGGTGTTAAGAGGTTATGAAGCAGAATGCCATTCTTATAATTTTTTACATATTTGTAGTCAATTATTTACATATTTGTAGCCTTATTGTCACTAAATTCGATCGGAACTTAGCGGTTCAATTGAATTAATACCAAAGCTAACTCAATTTCATCATGCCAGAGAACTTGTCAGGTACAGATTTTGAAAATTTACCAATTACATTGATGCGTTAATCGTTCGATATCGGAAATATCTCATATAAAGATCAAGTTTTCCCTAGACCCGTTGACTTGGTCCTCGGCTCATTGACTTAAATTTAACTATTTTTTTCACCAAATATTAATATTTTAACTTCTTATATATTTACAATTTTCTTTAACAGCTTGTAATTGGTCCCATTATGCCCGTTCAGCTGGGAGATCCCATTGTTTGGCGATCCCTCATCTGTTCATATAATATACATGTGGGCGATTATAAGATGCCAAGTACACCAATTTATCCGTGGGATAAATGGGAGAATATATATGCCAGATCGAAGGCATTTAATGGCAAATTAGAACCGGACTATTCAAGAGAGTTATTGTACGCGGCTCTGGAAGGTTTTATGAATAGACCGCATGGCCATGGTAGGGAATGTCTTTTACGGTCGATTTGTGAAAATGCTCAAATTGATCAACATATGGATTTTTTTGGTGAAATATTAAATGTGATATTGACGTGAGTATATATGGCCTGATGCATTCACAATACTTTATAATATTATAATGAAATGTATGCCTTTTTTTCAGACCCGGCAAAGAAGACTTAGATGATGATTATCGCAGTGCCTATGAGATGGGTCGAAATGGTGTTAATTGTCTAAAGTATTATATAAATTGTCCCAAAGGAGCAAATATTTTTGATCAGTTTATTCAAGAGAGTTAATTGAATTACATTTATTTTTGAAAAGTCTAGATCTCTATGCAATTAAATATCAACAAATCAATACTCATATTCAAAAATATGTAGTTTAACTTTTGTTATGTAAAATAAGTAAAAATGCCATTAAGTTTTTATGCGTTCAAAGTCTTTGAACAATTAATTGGATTATTTTTTCGAAATGAAAAGAACTTGTGTGAGGGAATACCTAACTTCGGAATGGATTGATAGAATGCTGGAAAGCAGAATTATCAACTCATCCTTAGGAGAGAGTTCCGTGAGGAAATCTGTCAACAGAGGCACACCTCAGGGAGGAGTACTTTCCCCCCTTTTGTGGCTTCTGGTGATAAATGAGATACTTATGAAATTCAATCATGTCAGGATAAAGGCGGTAGCCTATGCCGATGATGTAGTCTTGCTGGTTGGGGGTAAGTGTATAACGACAATATCAGACATCCTGGAGGGTGCCCTTTCTACTCTGTCTAATTGGGCTTGCACCAAAGGTCTTGGTGTAAACCCCACTAAAATCGAACTGGTGCTCTTAACTAGGAAGCACAAAATTCCTAGTTTCCGTCTGCCATCACTTGGAGGAGTGTCTTTAACCCTTTCTGATGAAGCTAAATAGCTTGGCACTATCCTAGACCGCAAGTTACTGTGGAATAGGAATGTTGAGGAACGCTCCAGGAAGGGATTGCCGGCACTCTATTCATGCAAGAATTCCATAGGCAAGAGTTGGAGATTGAGACCCGGAATTATACACTGGCTGTACACGACGATCGTCTTACCCATACTTACTTATGGTTGTCTTGTCTGGTGGCAGGGGGTGAACACAAAGAAACTGCTGACAAAACTGAGCGATCGGCTTCAATTCTGATCACCGGAGCATTAAGAAGTACACACCATGAATGCAATCTTGAATCTCCAACCATTGGATATTCTGATCAAATTCCAGGCGGCCAGATGCGCCCTGAAACTCTGGGAAACAGATGCCTTGAAATCGCTGAACTATGGTCATGCCAGCATCCTAAACATAACGCCTGCTTATGACCTCTTTAGGGGAGATAGTCATATCAGTGATTATATTCCCCCCATAGGGACTTTAATGACATCAAAGTTGAATTTCCTAGTAGGGAATCCTGGACTAGTGGCTCCCTAGCTCTGCCAGGTCTGTCAATCTTCACAGACGGGTCCAAGATGGATGAAGGCACTGGCGCAGGCGTCTACTGTAGGGAATTGGGTATACAGTACTCATATAAACTCAACAATGACAGTAGAGCGTTTTTAACGACATTGAAGGGAATGAGATAGCCGACGAACTTGCTCGAGGGGGGTCACAGTTGTCCAGTCTTCTGATTGAGAGATCTGTGAATCCCCCCTATTAGCTATTTCATTGGCAGAATCCGTGCATTCCATTGCGAGGTAGTCGGTAACAGATGGCTAAGGGAACCTGCTGGCCAGAATTCTCTCGTAAAAGAACGTCTTCGCTGCTGGAACACAGCAAGAGAGAGATCAAAATCGTTGTAGGGATTATTACTGGTGACTGCAAAGTTAGATCTCTCACTTCTAAGTGGGACTCCAGTGGATTACTGTCGTCTATTTGAGGACGAAGAAGAACTGGAAACAATTGAGCACATCCTCTGCAAATGTCCATCGTTGATCAGCAGAAGACATAAACAATTTGGATGTTATAGAAATGATAATCTAGTCTTCTTCACCAAA